TTTATAACTTCAATTTGACGATATTATTTATTATTCTATTTAGTTTATTCACCAATATTATTTATTATTTTATTTAGTTTATCTACCAATATTATTAAAGACGCGCATATAACTGTCTTATATAATTTGACATCAAGCTACATCTATAATACTACTAGAAATTTTCTTTTACTTGTACTGACTTACTTTTAACTGCCCTTTCTCGCTGTTAACCGATGAATTTTGGTTTGGATTGATGATTCATCATTACTTCGTCTATTATTCAACAAATTTGACTAAATATAATACGGTTGCGTCTATTGTAAATCGAAAGTGAAATGATCCTCATAATATGTTAATTTAATTTTAATATATGAGATAATTATATTTTCCTCAGCTGATGAAGACTAAGAATAGTCGAAACATACCGTTTGAATTTATCATTAAAAAATATAATTGTGGAAAATAAATTTTACTTTGTCACACCTAATTATATCCTTAAAAATGTTTAATAATCCTGTTAAATGCAACTTTTAAAGGCCATGTAGAAGGTCCCGCGAAAATTCTAACTGGATCTTGTTCTGGTGGAACAGACTTACAATTTGATGGGAGTAATGACCCATTTGAATGCTTGGAACTTTGCTAAAATCGATCTTGAATTCGATTTGATCATTTTTTCACATTAATCACATTAATTAATTTTACATTAATTTTAACTATTATATATTTCTTAAGGCGTATATCGTAAAGCTAAATGAATTATTGCATTGTGTTCAACGACCAAAAAACATACAGTACTACATTTAAAATCTGGATTAAGCCATTTTTGCATCAAATCAAACATAATGAGGAAAATCATTCATCATCAAGGAAAATCCATCATTAAGGAAAATCGAAATTTTGATTTAAAAATCGTTCACTAGCGATCTCTAAATCATACTATAAAAATTTATCGGTGTTGTTTTGACATGAAATGGAAGCTTTTGAGTTGAGGCCGATTAAAAAAAAAATTCTTTTTCTTATCCATCTAAATGTATGTATATGTTACGGGCAATGTGATTAGTATGGGCATTATACATAATGGCCGGTCAATATGTATAATGCCCGCTTGTTTTGGGCAATGTGAATAATGTAAACAAAAACATTCAAATTAATCAAATGACTGGTCATTATGAATAATGTCCACAGACTAGTGGGAAATGTAAATTAGTAATAGATTGAAAGTCTGAAAATATCATTATAAAAAATAGAGGTAAATATTTACCTTTAGTCCTTTACACAGCCTGCCCCAAATGACTTCTCACTAACTTTGATGTTGACCTTGTCCTTTAAGAAGATCATTGATTTTTTTTCTGTCGCTAGTTCTATTCATTATGAAGTTATGAATAGAACAATTTTTATGAATAACACACAATTTTTAAACATAAAATATATATTTCAGCAGTATTTTCCCTTGACAGAAAAAGATAAAAGTCATGCGCCCCCAAATAGGGGGGAGCTGAGGTGAGAGTCGCTTCAGATGAAGTCGTGCGCCCCCAAGCAGGGGGGGGAAGGGAGATGAGTTGGGATTCGCTTCGTCTCCTGTCAAGAAGTGCACAACTTTCCATGCAAAGCAATTCCTACCCAAAGAGGTTGCATATATACAGTAGAGGAGCCAGCTAAGAATGTGTGAGCGAATAGAAAGAAACAGAAAACAAAATGGCCATCAGCATCCTTGTTTAATTGCGCATGCGCTGTTGATTTTCAGTGTTAGGTGGGGAGATTTCAGGAGAGTAATATATCAATACCGCTCCATTCAGCTTTCAAAGTTTTATGCGCGGCGCAACATTAGACAAAGATAAAGATAACCATCCCGTATTCTTTCCTTTTCTACTGTCTAACATTTCCACTTACAGGATCCCTATGCTTGCCTACTCTACATATATATATATATATATATATATATATATATATATATACACAAAACCTCTTTGCTTCTCTCCCCTTGCATGGGGGCGCACGATTTTCATCATGGTGGAAGTATTACATGATGTGTGCAGTTCGGTCAACCACGCCTACTTTTGCTCCGCATCTATAGTATGCACTACCAACTGTGAAACGTGAAAAAAACATGGGACGTTTCATAGTCCGTTTTTATTTTAAAATTGTCTTAAATAATGTCTTAAGATACAGTCCTCGCATTGACTTATGATATCTTAAGACATTATTTAAGACAGTTTTAAAATAAAAACAAACTATAACTACCGTCTCATGTTTATTGTTTAACAGTTAGAGAACTATACTACTGTACTGAGCTAGTTTTTAAACGAGTAGTTACTTATACTGCGAATATTCCATATACGGCAGAGGTTTAGAAAGAAACATTGTCCAACTGCACACATCATGTTATCCCTTTCACCTGAAGCGACTCCCACTCCACCTCCCCTCCCCCCCCCCGCCTAGGAGCGCACGATTTTCACCTGAAATGATAAAAATTATTCTGTTCATAACTTTTTAATGAATAACAAGCGATGGAAAAAAATCAATAACCTTAACTTCTTTGAAAGTCAAGGTCGGTGATTAAGGTCATTAAACTCGAGGTCGGTGAAAAGTCATTTGGAGCGGGCTGTGTAAAGGTAAATTTGCCCCTATTTTTTATAATGATATTATAAAGGTACATTTGCCCCTATTTTTTATAATGATATTTTTAGACTTTCAATTTATTAATCACATTTCCCATTAGTCCAAGGGCATTATTCATAATGACCGATCAATTTTATTAATTTGAACATTTTTACTTACATTATTCACATTGCCATTTTCACATTGCATTATTCACAAAACAAGCGGACATTATCCATATTGATCGGTCATTATGTATAATGCCCTCATTAATCACATGCCCGTAACACATATAGTAATATATGTTACGGGCATGTGATTAATGAGGGCATTATACATAATGGCCGACCAATATGTCCACTTGTGCGCGCACATACATACACAGTACCCTCCATAAATTTGGGAACACCCTACGTTTTACAGATTTGTAAATAATTATTTAATTTAAAAAAGACGAAATAAAACATACATATGTTATCTACATTATAGATAACGTATGTATGTATGTACTTTTATTTCGTCTTTTTTCAATTAAAGATTTAATAACATACTATTAAAATATGGAATTTTAATTAAAATGCGCTTCATACAAAATCTGATTCTTCGGGGCCATTTTACAATTTTTACTGAAATAAAATAGTTTATCACTTTTATAAAAACCGTTAAACTACAATTAAATAACCTGTACATATACAACAAATATAAGTACGACGTTGCAAAATAAGTGGAAATATAAATAAACATTAGACCAAAGTGCGAAATTTAATCTTGAGCGCTTCGATGCTGAAATGATTGTCCAACATATTTTCAGCATGTACAAGCTTATAGGTGTTCTAGATAAATGTTTATCGTCATTTAGACATTTTCCGAAGTGTTTAAATCAAAAACATGTAGAGATCGCTATCACGTAATGGCTTTCCTGTAAAACATAGGGTTCCTAAACTTATAGAGAGTACTTGTGAACCAGCGGGTTCCTAAACTTATAGAGGTGCGTGCGTGCGTGCGTGCGTGTGTGTGTGTGTGTGTGTTGTGTGTATTGTGTGTAGTAATGTTTCAATATTTTATATTAATTTCACCGTTATTTGAAGGTCGGTATACAATAAGAGGGCAATAAATAGAGCAGATATAAAATTAGTTATAATAATTGCTGTGATGTCTATTATTTCTTCAAATATACCTTCAAATTCCATCGCATCATATATATAATACTACAAGTGCATTTTTTATTCTATAGGAAAATTTATTATTATTGTAGTTTAAAGATATTTAAAGAATATTATGTATATTGTATAATAAAAAACGAAAAAAAGAAGAAAAAAATGCTCAGCCTGCATTGTGCAGAAGGCTCGCGTTAACTCCGCGCTGCGTCCTATACTGTATATGGATTTTACAGTCTTAGTTAATTGCTATAATGTGCATCTAACACATTTCACGATCGCCTTGTCATCCTTCGTCATCGCTATTATATTTGTTTCATTATGCATTATATTCGAATTGTAATACTTATTTTTTATAAATATATCTTCATATGTTTCTTTTTTAACTATTCATTGTACACAAATTGTTCCTGTATTTAACATAAAATTGAATATAAAATTTGACATTGGGTTACTTTGGCTTGCATTACACATGTTTATTTATCAGAAGCATATTTTATATCCATTAATAAGTAAAAAGATCAGTTTACAAGCAAACAATTTTTTTAAATTTAATCATGATGAATGCATATATTCACTCGATATAAAGTACGTGTTTCACTTTAGAAGGCAGATAGAATTGATGCAAAAGTATCGTATTTTTTTTACGATTAATCATTATAATTAGGGTAGCTCAATTTTATATTGCAGTCTAAAATTACAAAACAAATTTATAATATAAAAATAAGTCTAATTAACTAAATTTTATGTACAATATTATATAACCATTTTGCCTAAATAAAGTAAAAACATTTCAAATACAGATGTAGACATCATTCTCTTCTTTTTCTTTTTTATACAGACATATATTATTTTGCAAAAATAATGTTACGGATACATTAATATTGTTCATTTTGTCTCTCGGGAGCTATTCGGAATCGCTCCGAACCCAGCGTACTTGAAATGTAGGATTCACACTACGTACAACATCCGTCATATGACAAATATCGTAGACACTACGTAATGTGAATCCTACATTTCAAATATGCGGAGCAAACAGCTATTAACACATAGAAAGCTACATCGATGAGAACGAGATTTACATTCACCTTTTGAGGACTTCTGTATTATTAATAAAAATGTTAAATTATAAATAAAAATGTATACTTCATTTGCTTAAAAATAAATACTGTATAGAAACAACTGTAATTCTGACGAAACGACTGCTCATCATGATTCTGATGAATTCGTATGTGTAATGCCATATAAAATCTTTTGATGAACTTTATACTTAAAAATTATATTTATTGAATCTTTATATGGCACAATTTATGCATGCCAATTTACTGTTGCATCAACTCACCTTGCATTTTCTTCAAGTGAACATCTCATACTCCATTCACACCAATAATAACGTGACAATTTCTTAAATACAAATTATAATCATTTTGGTACATTTTCTTGAAATCTTGTATGACAATTAACTTCGTTAGAACGAACCGTTATTTAAAACACACACAATGTTGTCTCATTAATAAATTTTTCTTAACGAATTTTATAATATTCTCATTCAAGATTACAAAACAATACCATTTTACCGTTGTTTTTGTTCTATCTGTTGCGCGCAAACGTGTGCATTATTATAAATTCAGTTTTTTTAATAATAAAAATACAAGCGGATATAATAAAACTCAATGCTACAAATGAATTTAATCGATACGTGTGTACATACATTATTGTATTATTTTTTTCCTTTTCTGTGTACAAGTAATGTTGTGTCTACATGTATCATGTAAGGCACGCACAGAACGTGCGTGTAATCTATTCTATCTCTCAATGAGACACCATAAAGTGAGCCATGATATAATACTTGAGGCTATATGTGGTATGTGTGAAAACATGTCGGAGCCTCACATTCATTTAGCGATGTTCTATTGAAAGTTATGCTGTCTGGCGTCACTATAAAGTCGCGTTTCCATTCTCCTACCTTGACATTTCTTAACCTTGAAGTTTAGTTCTTTAGAGGAAGTAGTCTGGCGTTCGCCTGGTAACATGTGGTTCTCCACGTCTTGGTGCTGGGTCAAATTGTAGGCTGTAACAAAAAATCAAAAGAAAATTAATAATAATATCTACCAGTAAAGTTGCATCATGCTTTTTAATATCTTTAAACAATAAACATCTTTATATCAATAAAATCTTTTAACAATAAAGGAAATATAACGTGGCATACATTTATGATTATACAGAGATGGTTTGAACATGATAAAATTCTGAACAAAATAAAATAGGAATCCAATTTTCAAAGTTTGATTGTTTCTGTTTTATTCTATATAATGAAAGAGTTACCAAAGTTGGACCTCGAAAATTGGATTCAAATTTTATTTCGTTCAGAATTGTAATTGTTACCACATTGTTCAGGTTTGAAATTGTTACCACTTTATCCTACATTTAAAGACTTTATCATACATTTCATCACATGTACAATCCTATAAAATTTAATATTGTTTATCAATACATTTGTTTAAAAAAATTTTAATGTAGCAACATGCATTCAATATGCGTTTAATAGATCATCTGAGTAATCATGTCAATAAAAGCCGACTCAGATTATTGGTGTGTATGGAGTTTATTCGAGTATAATATAAAATTGATTACATAAACGTTTCAATTTTTCATTTAGGATCCTCTTCAATGTTATTCTCTCATCTATATCTCATAATGCTTATAACGCGAGTGCCCAAAATATTAAAATAAAAACCTGTGTTACATAAAAATCGCTTTTACATAAAATTCGTTATAAATTTATGGTATGTCAAGATGTGACGTGTTCCTTCGTCCAATATAAGTTCCTCATCAAATTGACAAATTTACTAAATAATGTAATCAATTATATGATGTAAAATACATGTTAAATTCAAAACTTACAAAACATGCTAAGCTATATTAGAACGCCGCACGGTGGGCCAAAAAAAATGACCAAAAGTATTAAAAATGCTCCAATTGCTGTTAAATTGAGTATTCAGGGATTTTATCCCTGATATCGAATTAAAACTTAAAAATTAGAAATTGAAAATGGTGGATCCAACATGACGCACGAAAATGCTAAAAATGTTTCAATTGCTCAAATTCTTATCGGCTTTTTTTATGGTCGCTGATTTCGAATCTGAACTCAAAATTTAGAAATTCAAAATGGCGGATCTAAAATGGCGGAATAGAATGTTAAAAAAAATGTCAAATCTCGTTAAATATACTTATTTAAAATGACTTTTATACATCTACATATACATATATTAAGTGTCAAGCAAATTAGTTAAAAAAGTAAAATTATTTTTTTTTAATAATGTAAATTATTATAATAAACAATTTGTAATAAACGTATAATAAAATAATTATTAAATACGCATACGCACGCGCGCGCGCGCGCGCGCACACACACACACACACACACACACACACACACATACACACACACAAAATTTAAAATATAGTAATTTTTATTTTTTGTAATTTCATGAAATATTATTTTTATATATTTGTTAATAATTATTGCGTACGAATCTGTTATAAATCCTACTATTATTAGTAAGGATTATTTAAAAAAACATAAATTATTTGAAAGATTTAATTTAGATGTATACTTCTTATAGTACAATATTAATTTTAATAATTTTAAAAATTATAAATTTGAAGACATTTTTTTACTGAATATTTTTTTTCATAACGTTTGTTAAAATTAAATCCAAATAATTATTATTACATAAGGATTTGTTTTTTTGTTACTTATTGTCAATATTATAAATTTTCAAAGAATTTACATCCTGCGGAGAGGTAAAGTTTAGTTGTTTTATTTCTTGGGATCAAAAGGGGCAGCTGGTGACAGCATATATGAAAGTCAACTAACATAGAAGTACAATAATATTTATAAAATCGGATTCCGCAGTGGAGGTTCGAAGAGATTTTGATTGATACATAGTTTAATATCAGAATACTGTAAAAGAGTATGCTTTAAATCTTACTTCTAAAAACAAATCAACCTTTCTTGCGGATAACAATTTAGAAATCATATTTCATGCATATTTTAATTATGAAATAACATTCAAAACATTGGAGAATAAATAAATATTACACAAGGAATACTGTTTACGTCAAAACGATCAATCGACAATTGTAACTACAATTGTAACTTTCTAAATTAGAAAGTATGTAGACACAAAATTAATAACGCATTATTCTAAAATTTTGCATAAATGTACATTTATTCCTTTGGATAATAATAAGAACTTTTCTAAATTAATGCTGCTAATAACTGTTGGCCATTTTTGATTAGTTTTTGGTGTCTCCTGACCCACTGTGCGCCGTTGAGATCAGTTGTTCGTTCGATATGTGAATCTCATGTGAGAATATGATAAACAATCGATATTCATCACGCGATACAATTGTTGTGGAGAGGGAGAAAATCTCACACTATAGATTATACATCTGAGTATACCAAATCCAACAAATCAGTATCATTTTTCTAAATTTAACATTTTTTTACTGTTTTATATGGATCATAGATATGGAAAGATTGTGATGCGTCATATGTGAGCTAAATGAACAGAATGTTAAAAATATGAATAAACGAGCATAAGAACCACAAATTAGACTCAATAATATTCTGTTATAACGGAGCACAGACTGGAATCAATGTATGATTTTAATTGAGAAGAGGTAAAGGTTTTGGATGAGGAGAGAATTCTACAAAGACGTCTTATATATATATATATATATATATCTCCCTAGATCTCAGCGCCCACCAAGGGATAATAACGCCCATGTTGCGAATCTATGTGTTCTAGATAATGAGAGAATTCTACAAAGACGTCTTATATCTGAGATGATTCATATAAAAAGCAAAAAAAATAAGTTAAACTTAAAAAAATGATTTGTTGGATTCGATATACTCAGATGTATTATCTATGTGAGACTCTCTCTCTCTCTCTCTCTCTCTCTCTCTCCCTTCCTCTCTCTCTCTCTCTCTCCCTCCCCCCCTCTCTCTCTCTCCACAACAATTGTATCGCGTGACAAATATCGATTATTTATCATACTTTCACACGAGATTCACATGTCGAACAGACAACTTCTCTTCACAGCGTTCTAAGCTTAGCATGTAAGTTTTAAATATAACATTTTATATTTACATCATGTAATTATTTAATAAATTTGTCAATTTGATGAGGAACTATGTTGGACGAAGGAACGCGTCACATCTTGACACACCATAAATTTATAACGAATTTTATATGTAAAAGCGACTTTTAATGTAACATAGATTTTTATTTTAATATTTTTGATACTCGCATTGTAAGCGTTATGAGATATAGAGAGAATAGCATTGAAGAGGATCCTAAATGAAGGATCAAAATGTTTGCGCAGTCAATTATATATTATATTCGAATAAACACATACATACCAATAACAGGTGTCAGTTCTTAGTGGCGTGATTACTCGGATAATTAATTCGTTAGAACCTAAACTATAACTTCCATATTATTTAATAAATCAATAGAATAATTTGCAAGTAAACGTTACATTATAATTATAAAAATTTTAAAGTCATACTCACAATGAATATTTTAAAGCATCATCCAGTTCCATAATTGCAGCTTGATTACCACAACGATAACAGTAATTAGGTGCTGAGAATATAGTTACGACGTTGCGATCATGACACCTGAAAGAAGAGATAGTACACGTTATAAGCACTATTACATGTATAGAAGAAAAAATATATATTTGAAACTTCTTATGAAATATCCTTGGTTGAACTATACATGTATAGAAGAAAAAATATTTATTTTAATTTAAATTAAAATTGAAATTACCAATTGTAACCTTCCATAACCAATTGATGAGCCCGTGAAACAAGTGTTAGTCCATTGGAGTGATTAAACGTTTCAGAAATATCTTGACCAAAAGTATATCCTGCTCCACGGGGTGAAATTCCCCATCCTCCTCTATCATCTGGATCTGACCAAAGCAGATCGCACATAGGACCCTGTATTAAATAATAGACACACATACACACATACAATTACAACACTAAATTAAGTTCCATTATTACAATAGTTATTATAAACACTACAAATGCTGATACTAACTTCATGTGGTACTTCCTGAAGACGATCTAGAGCACGTATATGATCTAAAGTGTCAATCGATGGTGACAGACCACCATGCAAACAAAATATTTGGCCATCTACCAATGCCGTTAATGGTAAATAATCGAATAAATCCGTAAAGAATTTCCATACATTGGCATTTCCATATTTACGTAAGCATTCATCATAAAACCCATATACCTGTGTGATTTGTCTTGATTCGTGATTTCCTCGCAGAATGGTTATTCTTTCTCGATATCTTACCTTTAATTGTACAAAACAAATCCGAGAAAGAAAAAATAAATAAATGTCTTATTTTTTCGAAAAAATTACCTTAAGAGCTACAAGCAAAGTGACAGTCTCGACTGAATAATAGCCACGATCAACATAATCGCCCATAAAAAGGTAATTTGTATCAGGCGATTTGCCACCTATTCTGAACAATTCCATCAAATCGTGGAACTGTCCATGTACATCTCCACATACTAGTAAGAAGCAACTAAACAAAGTTACAACGGTAACTGTAACGAGTTACTTTTAAAGTAAGTAACTTTCCATTCCCTAGTTAAAAGATTAAAAATTCTAAAAATTCAATTCTTACAACTTTGCACTTTGCAGATATAGTAGGTAGAATATATCGTATCTTAAATATCGTGACGTATATACTATATATCTATTATATGCATTTATATTTTAGACTATTCTTTTGCACGCGCGCGCGCGCGCGCACACACACACACACACACACACACACACACACACAGAGGGTATTATTTTTGACTGAAACTTTTTGCATCTTCCATTTTTCCTCTTTTTTCTTTTCATATTGAAAAAAAAAATAGAAAACTGTGGAGATAAAAGTTCAGCTAAAACAAAATAAAACAATAACATTTATTCCTTAAATACATAATATAATCATAAGTCATCTTTACAGACACATGAGATAATGTTGTAAAGATCTATCATCAACTAATATGATAAGCAGGGCTCGATGTTATTTCAAATAAATTTATTTAGAATATATATTTTAAATAAAGAAAAAATTAAAAACTTATTTAGTATTTATTATTTTAAATAACTTCTTTTGACCTATTTCTTATTTAATATTTAAAATAAGTTTTTGGAAATTATTTTTTATTTTAAATAAGTTGTTTTTTATCGATTTTATATTTTAAATAATTTTCTGGAATCTATTTTATATTTTTTATTTTAAATAAATTATATCAGTTATGTCACTGATCCGATCAGTGATGGTAAGTGTAGTTTTATTTATATATATATATACTTCATCATAAATACTATGATATATATATATATATATATAAATATATATTTATATTTTCAAATAAATAAAATCGTTAAAATATTCTATATTTACTATTTAAAATGTTTACTTAAAATATTTCTTATTTTATATTTTAAATAAGTTTTCAAAGTCAATTTCTTATTTAAAATAAGAAATAGCCTTCGAAAACTTATTTAAAATAAAAGATAAGTTATATTTTAAATAAAAGGTAAAAATTATTATTTATTTTAAATAAATAAATGCATTTTCGGATCCCATTTCTTATTTTATATTTTAAATAAGTCGTATCAGTTATTTTACCAAGTCCTGGTGATAAGATATGATGACAGATCTTTCAAATTATAGTCCGTTTGTAATCACAAATTATCTCTCAATATTCAAATAAAAATTTTTTTCATAACAAATGAATTTCCATTGCCAATTACAGATATAATTACTGGCATACATTCAGAAAAACAGATACTTTGGCCAACTGGCATATCATACCAATACAATGTGGAGAAACATTATTGCAAAGAAGTCACAGCTATAATACCTTCAAATTTCTAAATATAGATTCATTCAAAAATACTCAAAATAATTTCATTTAGTTCAGTCTACTAGAAATATTTAAATCAATCTCAAAATAATCAAATGTACAGAATATTTTTCAAATAATCCTTTACATAAGTATCATATTGCCTTTAAGAATTCCTATATTAAGGATTAATAATATTAAGGATTAATAATATATAGGATAATTCCTATATTAATATATTCCTATATTATTTCTTTCCAGTTTGTCAAATATATATCCTTACAAAAATTTTATTTTAATTACTTAACATCCAGCACTTTTAGTACTCGAAACAAGTAATTCATTAGTATTTTTCAATATTAAATTGACTAATATTAAATTGAATTTCTCTAAGGATACCAAAGTCCTGGCTTTTAATAAACTTGGAACACAATTCTTATTTTTTTTTTGTTACATTAATGAAATATAATGAAATAGAATATCTCAGTCTATAAGCGACTGCATGATTCATAGCAAAGTGATAACTTTCCTCATAATCGCACTCACCAATCGAAAGAAAAATAGTCAATAACAGATGTTATTACCGAATGTAAAACATATTACAGTTATCGTAACTGATAAGATTATTCATCTCCTAGATAAATCATAGAGCCTTAAGTATCTCAAAAGACGTACACCAGCAAAATTACGACGCAACAACGGAGCGTTCACCTGTTGCGGAACTGCGTTAACAGGTTTAAAACGGCATGTATAAGCAAGAATAATCGATCTAGAATCATGAATCCCGGTCGTTACCCAAAGGTAGCCATCAAAATGCGAGCTTCTCGGAGAAGGAAAGGGGTGAATTCATCATCGAGAACGAGACTACGACGATGGGAAAAATCCCGAGATCCCCGGGGTGCACGATGATCCTCATAAACGTTCCGTAACGTCCATGACACATCGTCGATATCATGTTTGATAGCAATTTGAGATAGCAGAGAACGGTAAACGATGCATTCGAACGCGGCACGCGACAGCCGTGTGCGAATAACGGAAAATAACGTAACGCGGCCATTCACGGGGATGTTCCAAACGGGGCGGAGCCATGCTTAACGAGCATGTCGAATGTGTACCTTATCGCAGAGGGTTTTCACTTGGCTTTCTGTCAGTTGTTTGCAGTCGTTTAATTGTTCTATCCACTGGTCAAGTTCCTTGAGCGACGCCTTATCCTCCATCGTACTTGTCCCACAATTTTGCACGGGAAATTAACGCGGTCGTGCGGTCGGTCGCACTCCTCACTAGCGCATGTAATCCGATCGCCCAAGCGTATCCTTTAACGCGAAGCTAAATCATCCGAGTTTATCTCCACCACTGCACGCCACTGACCACGAATCCCGCAACACAAATACCTCGTGAAAACGGACAGCGCTTGTTCACTGCAGTCACACAAAATGGCCGAACGCCGAGCGCTGGCGCGATGATGTCACGGCACCACGAAGTAATAAGAAGGAGATCAAACTCGAGGTCTGAAAATGGGTTCGAAACCACAGTATACAGTATGGACACTAAACTTTTTATGTAGTTTCCAATTTTTAGTGCGCATGCGTCGATTTCCAATCAGGAATATGGCTGCCTTCAATAAGTTGAAATCACAGGTTAGGTGGATCTCTTTTCCAAAAAATATAATTAACTCTTTCGCCTACAATATCGTGTGAGACTCGTGGTAAGGAGATCGGGCCAAACATGAGTATCACGAATGAGAGCCGTGGTACGTTCATACAAAGCTTAATTTTTTTTTAATTTGTAAGAGAAGAGTAGGACAAAGGGTTAATAAAATTAAGTTTTACTAAAAAAAATTAAATCAAATTTTTTCGGAGACGCTATATTGGGTAGATTGTTATATTTATATACGATAAAATATTCTTGTAATAAAGTTTGCATTTGTGTACGTATATTATTAAATTATTACAACTTCACATTTAATTTTCATGTAATATATTATTTTTCTATACATAATTATTCAATTATTCAATTTTCATATACTTAATCAATTATTATTTTTAATTTACTTATTACTGTTTAATATTATTATTATTATTAATGTAAATATTATCTTTATATAATTATGAGTTTGTTAACGTTATATTATTACATAATATAATTTGATTTAAAAATACTTGCTATAAACAATTTTTATGACACGATCGAATTGTCTTTTTTTTTAGAAAAATCATTCTTTATAAAAACTCAAATTTATAAGTGTCCGACCCACAACATGGCGGCAAGTCATGTGACCTGGAACTCACTACATCAAAGGTGCTGACGCTCAGCGTCCATATTGTATGTACTTATAGTGACTCCACACAATAAAAGGAACAGAGAACAGAGAACAGAGAATAAGAATTTCAACCTATCAGAAATCATATATTGTGGAATATTTGGATCTACAGGTAAGAACCAATTATGCTCATTCGCTCGGCAAGCATGCCTAGCCACTTTGTCGTCTTGAACTCGCCCATTATTTCCGAAAATCCATATAAAATTGAGACGGTATGATTTTAGTGCTATCGTGCCTTGCGGGAAAAATTGAAAGTATTACTGTCACGTGGTCGCAGATCACACGTATATACGTGTGTGTATATACGTGTTACACACATACATATCACGGAGTATTTTGCACGCATACGATCATCGATATACCCTGCATTCGCTTAGACCGCCGTTCAATGAGAGGAAATTTACAGCAGAACAGACAGCGCGACCAATCACAATTCTGCAGTCATTACTCTGCTTGCTTTTCTGCTATTGTGATTGGTCTCGCTATTCCATTCTGCAAATTTCCGCTCATGGGATGGCATCCTTATGGCGCAGTCCCATGGTGCGGAATGGCGCAATGCGGAATTGGCGGAACGTTCGTGATTGGTCGTGACTTCATTCCGTCGATTCCGCCGTTTTCTGTTACGCAAATTTATTTCTTTTGCGGATTTGCCAATGCCTGTATATGTGCATGTGCATATACTTATAAAAACTAACTTCATTAAGCTTATGATGTAAGAACATCAAGTGTTCCGTTGTGCATAATGGCGATAGCAATACTGAAAACAACCAATCAAATTTTTGTCTAAATTGACTTTTCTGCGTATAATAACGCTGACATATTGGGATAGTCAATCAAATTTTTCCCTAGATTCCTGCTACTGCGCAACTATGGAAACGGAATATCTCTCTCTCTATTTTACATCACGGTTGTGGTTTAAACAGAGAAAACTGTCTTCTACAAGCGCATAATTTTTAATCAATAATATTGTTCGTTTTATCTCTCGGGAGTTACTCTTGAAATGTAGGATTCACATTATGTATGATATCTAATGTGATACGACATCTGACATTCATTAGCTGCGTTCAGCGGACTCAATAGTCGACTAAGCGCTCGGTGTTATTGGTGTATTCTTTTAGATCATCCAATCAGCATTTTAGATCTGGAAGAATATATCAATAGCAGCGAGCGCTCACTCAATTGTTGAGTCCGCTGAATGCAGTCATCGTTACGATGAATGTCAGACATCATATGATGGATGTCATACATAGTGTGAATCCTACATTTCAAGTACGCTGAGTTAATTCGGAGCAACCCCGAGTAGCTACCGAAAGATAAAACGAACAATGCTAATATGCTGAGACATGTTCGTATTACCACCTGGGTGTTCTCCGGGTGTTATGTCATCCTTGTTTAATATTCGATAAATAACAATAATGGAGTGATACCTGGATGCAATCTGCAGTCGGATGGAAATCTGAATATAACTCTGAAAGTAATTAATTAAGTCTCCAGATAAATACGAAGGTCAATATGATGAGAACACGAATGTCATACAGGTATATATAGTATATAGAAAAGCGAAAATGTAAATCAAAATCAATCAAAGATGGGTACACAAAACGAAGTCGGAGTAATATTCCTGTATGTATGTGTGTTTCCAATCCGCAGGAATTCATTTTTCTATGTCCCATTAAGCGGAACTTGCAAATGCGCAATCAATGCAAGCCAATGACGAACACTATTCTGATAGATCTAATAAAAGTGACCTAAAAAAACCTGGAAAAACTTACGATTGGTCAGAGCTAATTGCGCATTCCGCAAATTCCGTTCCATGAGACATAGGAAAACACATTTCAACGGAATCGGCGGAATGAACCACAACCAATCACGAACTTTCCGCATTGCACTAATTCCGCACTATGGGAGCGCGCCATTACGCTACGGTGCATAGCGGTTAGGATATATCCACACAACTTGCATAGCCGCATAAACGTATGCATAAAAAAATTATCCAATCGTATTTCTCTTAAGAACTGTCTACATAAGTCGCAAACATAGAACAATTCACAGACGCATTTGCGACAGTCAATTAGAAGTACTAATTGCTACTAATTACTAATTACTATTATTAGTACCAATCAATGGTACTAATAACAGTTTTTGATTAGCTATCGCAAATGCGTTTGCTTAAGGGCCGTTTACATAAGTCGCAAATACATAACAGTTGTGTATGTAGTGTATGTATTTTGAAATCAACGCTTCATATTGGTTGTCACAACAAACTTGTGATCGGCTTGTATCTAATGTAGAATGGGCCTTATAAAGACGCACATAAAATGTGATTGCATAATTTTTGTTGTGCATACAATTATGCGATTATGCAAGTTTGTGTGGATATACCCTTAGCACAGAAGTATTATGCCTGTTCTACAATAAAGTCACAAATCGTAAGCCGTAAGAAATTGATCAATCACAATTAAGTGTGAGAAGAATAATCAACTATAATTGGTTTATTTCTTACGGCTTACTGCGCTTACTCTTTTATAGAACAGGCCTTGGGAGCGTTTATATTGGCCATAATTGTACGCTGTATGCCGTAATCTGTAAGCCGTAAAAAGTTGACCAATCACCTTCGAGTATTCTCTTTTTACCGATGAATAAAAGAGAAATACTTGACTGTGAGTAATTAATTTTTACAGATTATGGCATACAGCATACGATTACAGTTAAATATAAACGCTCCTATTTTATCCTTGTTGTTTACCGAATGTTAAACAAGGATTAAATGATACTCTTTGAACTAATCGTTGCGTAAACGAATGCACCTATATAATACTGGACAGAGCATTAATTCGGATATACAATAGGTGTTTTAAGTCTTAAGCCATAAGAAATGAATGAATCACAGATTATTCTTTTCGCATTCGATTGTAATTGATCAGTTTTTTACGACTTAAGGCTTAAAACACCTATTGTAGATCCGAGCTTAAGTGGGGAGCACAGATTCTTGCATAATGCATAATGCATACCGCATAAGAGAATTAACCAATCGAAATTCTTTTTTTCTATGAAATGAAAGAAAAGGCAAAATTCTGATTAGTTGATTCGCTTATGTATTATACATTATGCGTTATGCAAAAGTCTATGCTGCGGCTTTAATCCTCTTAGTCCGTGCGCGATTAGCGACATGACTAAAGCCCTAAACACAATTCGAGGCAATAGCGATAAGAATAGCAATAAAAATATTATAGAAATAAACAATATATAATTGTCGTCTCCCGTTACACAATTACTGGATTCACACTGTATCCGACGTCGTACGTCGATGTTCTACCAATCAGAAAGCAGAATTTTATTTGGTATCGATGATATAAAACAAAATCCTGTTTTCTGATTGGTTGCAGAGCGTCGCACGTCGGATACAGTGTAAATCCAGCAAATGCCGCGAAAGAAATAAAAAATGCCAACCAATTTGATTTCGTATATAAACTATAGTATATTCTTTTATCCGTTTTAATTTTGATATAAATAGAATGAAAAATCTGGACGCCAATTAGTAGGCTATAAGGTGATAGACACAGAATTCCAACTTATCGGAAATTTATCGCTTTGCCTTATTCCGTGCCTATGTACATTGACATATGCATTCCCGTATATTAGATTGTCAGTTTCTATCACTATCACTATTGCTATTGCTGTTTTTATCGCTACCGCTGTTGCTTTGCATTGTGTTTAGGCTTAAACCTTACGTCCGCTTACAACTAAATTTGATGTAAAGACGAAATAATCTGAATTTTTATAAATTTTAAAAAAGTAATCGATCTAACAAACAAGAATGGATTAAAATGGATTAAAATTCTTTTAATGCGGACTTTAAATCCATTAAAAATGAACTGAATGGATTGAAATGGATTGGATCCGAGCTGACACTAGTCTTTAATATTAAAAAAAAATATATTCATATTTAAAAGCGTTACAAATTTTATTTCTAAGACATTATAAGAATTATACCTGAAATTAAATTGATATTAAAAAACATACTTTAGGGATTCGAACTTCTGAATCATGAATCTTCTACGTTGCTCGCTACAATACTTCTTCAATTGGTAAATGTGTTATTCATTCTCTACTTCAATTACAACTAAACTAGTAAAGAAATTA